TCCTCGTGTGTCATCGTGTGATATCTTGCTGTGTGTACATTGTGATCAAACGAGATCAGGACACAACAATCACCGAAAGTTACCGACTACTCACAAGTGAATAATATCTTACAACATTAGTAGTAGTAGTAGTAGTAGTAGTAGTAGTAGTAGTTGTTGTTGTTGTTGTTGTTGTTGTTGTTGTTGTTGTATGCACGGAATTCGGAACACGAACCACGCACTAGGAATGACAAAACACGAATCAAGGGTCAGCTATCACGGACTGGAGCACGGAAGCACTGAACCGTAATCGCACGGGCTCGCAATATCCCACATGACCGAGACGAGAGGAAAAGGCCACAAGAATGAGAGCTCGTATTTCGGTTATTGGAAGGAATGAAGACGATTAAATAATTTGTACAAAAGATCATTGGTTATCTAGGCCTCCGCCAATCGTATCGCAGTACATTGCATAATTCTGCTTCCGCCTGCATTGTCGCGGATTGGCTGGCACGATCTGCCTATGGCGTGTAGTCGGAAGCCGTATGCGTGTCATTGACGTCACCTTCCAAATTTGATTGATCGCAGATGTCCAGAAACTGTAACCCGCAGCTCCAGGGTAGGTGTTATCATGTAGCTTGTAGCACCACAATATCTTTGAGCATTTCGCTGCGTCTATACATGTGTAAACTATGGTTTAATTGGTCAGTGATATTTGCTTAGAAATATAAAATTGTAGACAAACAAATGTTACGCACAAATCAATTAATCGAACAAATGCATTTTTAAGGTTTTCCATCCGGTTTCTCAAGATATGTGATCGCGCAATCACACCTGAACTAATAGCAGCAGTTTAATACGGAGTGGGTTTGAAGCTAGCGAATTCACCGATGTTGCGGATAATTCGCTGGTCATGTAGAAACAGTTGAGTTTCACGAAAGTAATGGAGAATTCGATTCAATTTCACAGAAGGAGTTGGTCGTGAATAGGGTAAAAGAAGCGCGAACTGAAAAGCTAGGAAGCACTGGACAGCTGATTCGACTGGTTGGGTTCCATCAGCAGGGTGAATTCATTGACTCAAGTGCGGATCGAACTCGGTACCTCAATGGTAGAATGAAAGCGTGATATCGACTCGGCCAGCAAGCAGTCGATCAAACCGAGTTCCATTTTCCATTTACAAATCACCCCCTCAGGATTGATGTGATGAGATATACTTGCTTGAAAGCTGTCATATGTTATGAAAATCGAGATATACATGAATGAATACGATTGAACAATTGTATTATATAGTGAAACAAAAGCATAACGCGTAATTGGTTTCGAGTAAGTACGGTGCCACTCATAGGAATTGTGGTGAACTATTGAAACCGAATATCGGTCAACTGAAACACGAAAATACAGAAAATACAGAGAGAACCAAATTCACTGTAAAAACGTTGGTTCGATCTCAGTTGTATGCTTTTCTTCCCCAAATAATAATTTTTAGATACACTAATGTGGATTTGATTTTGCAAAATTTGTAAACCCATTACCTGATGCTAAAATACACGGGTCTGTTGATACGTCCCTAATTTAACATTTGACAGATGCCTTCCACCGAGTCCCTAAACGGACATTTATTG